GACTGTATTTGAGTGAGTTAAGGCATTAGTTTGCTTCATTAAAGGGTGTTAATGAATAAGTGTTCTCCAGTGCCTTTTGTCCGCTTTAAGGTATTATTAAGGTAGGGTTAATGTTGCTCTCAAAGTGCACCAGATTGATGCTTTTAACTTCAATATTTAAAAAATAATCTTCCCCGGGGAGTATGCCCCCGGACCCCCCTAAAGAAGGCGACGACCCCCCTAAAGGCTGTTCGGTCCCTCGATTGTAAAAGAATTGCACTTTACCCCTGCACCCCCCAACAACTCCTGGGCTCCTACAATCCTAAATCCGCCACTGATTAGCACTCTATCATAGATTAATTTATAATAGATTAACTGTTTTTACTGCTTTCTAAATCACCAGTCACACATTTCGTAAAGCAAATTAAGAGATTCTAAATTGGCTCTGAACTAATTACACTTTGAAATATAGACCGTTCGGTAAGTAGCTCACTAAGCAACGTTTGCAACTTTCTAGGCCTGTTTCTTTTTGTAGCAGGTATCGTAAGAGGAAAATCAATCACATAAGCAGAGAGCCGATGCCAGCAACCACAAGCAGATACATCAATAACTCTGTTGAGAAGAAAGGAGTGAGTTAAGGGAGGAATGTACTGAATTTGATTTATTTTACTAAAGTCTGCTTACAGCACTGGGTTTGATTTGATGTCCAAGCACACTGAATTTTTTGAAACCATAATGGAAGAATGGAGGCAACAGAGTTTATATGGAGGAGTGAAGACATCAATGTGGAGAGAAGGAGAAGGCATGGAAAGCGGACGAAGACATGAACCGAGGCGAGGTGGTGAGAGATCACAGGACAGAGAGCTTCTTTGAGCTAAAGTGACATGTGTGACACTGGTTTAGCCTGAAGGAACATTCCCAGGTCAGTGTGTGTGTGTGTGTGTGTGTGTGTGTGTGTGTGTGTGTGTGTGTGTGTGTGTGTGTGTGTGTGTGTGGGGAGAATTTTTTTGTGATCACAGTAATGTTCTGTGTTAGCATGCACCATCACATGATGCCGCCTGCCGTCACACTTAAATCAAGCCCTCTCATACACAACCAGAGTCAGGCCAAGATAAAAGACAAAGCTAGAACAATCACAGTCATAAATGATTATGATGGTGTGTCTGAACACAAATCTGCTTGAAAATGGATTTTTTTTTTCTTTATTTCAAAATGACAAGTGACTAGTTTTTTCTTTATTATATTCATTTGTATTTATTCCAAAAAGAAACCCTTACCTCTTGTCGTACCAGCTATAGTTTAGGAGTCAGAGTAAGATAATGTGGAGCAAATGCTATCACAAAACACATGAAGCCTCAAGAACAGGCCAAATATTGAACAGTATCATACAATAGCGGAATGGTCACACAAATCACAGCAACATCAGTAGTTCAATAACTGGTGGAAAAATTACAAATACGATGCATTTAAAGGCAATAATGTCACATGCGGATAAGTATTCAATATAAAGGAAATACAAAAAAACGTAAACAAATCTCGAAGAAGAGCAAAGTTTCACTGTTTAAAATGTTCAAAGTTGCTGCAGTGAGAGTGGTAGCAACACAGCGTAACACTATAATGTTATTGCAAGATTCAAAACGTCTAAGTAACATTCAGCTGCAAGGCTGATGAGCTGTCTTGGCTAATACACCCTTGATCCTCACATTTTACACAACACTTGTGCTGAACTTCGCCCACCATTTAGTTTTCGATATTTGTCGTTTCGAACACTTCTTTTGCCTGATTCATACACATCTCACACTTATATCCAAAAATACCGCTTTTGGAGAGCACATGTTTCTTCTTGAACAGGGAGAGTGTGCAGCAGTCCATTATGGCAAGTGTTCAGAGTTTCCCCTCTGATTTCCAAAGGATGTCTTCTAAAAATGGAGGAGACTTTATATGATGTTTTTGACGAGACAAGAATAGGGATGTATCCTCATTCTGTCATCCATACTTATTTTTGTCATATCTACTCCTCTTTTACGTTACCTCCCTCCTCAGGCCGTAGTGGACTTGTTGGTCATGCGGGAGTGGCTCTGGTCGGAGGCTCGATCGGTGACTTTCAGCTTCATGCACGACTGCTTCTCATCCATCAACATCTCAGCTGGTAGGCACCAGCAGCACAGGCAGGACTAGAGGAGGGAGAAACGTGGATAGAGAAATAATGAAGGATAGGCTGAGAGAAAGGTTTAGCATACATTGTTCACAACTAATAGAAAAGCAAGTGGTTCCTTTTTCTCTTTTGTTGCTGTTTACTCCGACTTGCGTCACCACAAACGTAATTTCTTAACATGTGCAGCTGGCAAAGCGCATCAGCCGAGCAGCGAGGTGCACATGTTCTGTCTCTCTATCTTTCCCTCCTTTTCTTTCTCAACAGTGGCTCAAACAACACTATCACAACATGAGATAATAATTACCTATCTCATACTCTGTAGCTCTTGCAAAGTCAAGCAGCTAACAAACTAGCTGCTGGCTAGACCTAACACATCTACCATCGAATCACCACCACCGCACCTTGTGTGTCTTGGTGGTTTGAGGCCTAGAGATAGTTGAAATAGTTTGAAAGCTTAAGGTTAGCTAAAAATACCAATACAAGTATTTTTGTTTGCCCTTTCAAGAAAATTCAAAAATAAATATAGGGCATGCAATTGGTTATCTTAGCTTAGCATAGAAATAATTTAATGTGTTTCCATCGCTAAAAAATCTGAAAGAATATACTTTAAAAAATTAACTACAATGAGTATTTATCTTTTCAGTCAGCTGAGAGAAATGGACTTCACATGACAATGTTCACAACTTGGATTAAATGTTATAAAAAATTGCTTGATTATTTTACAAAGAGGATTCTTATGGAAACATATTCAGACTTAACGACTGCCTCAAAAGTAGAGAGTCACCTCTGTTTTTCTGTGTCTGTTGGCAAATTTGGCAGGAAATCTGTTTTGAGTTTATTTCTCAAAATGTCAATCTATTCTTTAGGATGTTTTGACTGCACATTGCATCATACACCCTTACCCTGAAGCAGTTCTTGAAGCGCTTGCTGACAATGTAGAGGGCGATTGGGTTGATGCAGGAGTTTACAGACGCCATGTTGATGCCAATGTAGTCCAACACCAAAAAGAAACTAAAAGGGTTACAGAGACAAATTAGTGTACCATAACTCTGCCTTCCTGCAGGGTGAATCATTATTCTACTGAATTCTCCAGTCTTCTCTGTTCTATATTTTCTTGTGTACTGCAGATTATGTGTTGTCTTGTTATACCTGAGCAGTTCGCATCTGTTTGGATCTTTTTCATCATAGATAGTTAGCTTCAGGATACGGCTGAGGTGGAGCGGCAGCCAGCACAGAGCGAAGACCAGAACCAGACAGAACACGGTCTTTGCCACCTCCCTTCGCTGAATGCACACAAACACACATAAATCAGTACAGTTTGTCCTGACAGCTCTAAGCCAGATGGGGAGATGGTGAAATGTAGGCACAAAGAAGTCTAACATCATTGAGATATTTTTGCCTAAAGGTCATTAAAGTTTTAAGCTGGGGTAGGGAAAAAGACACAACTGTATTTTGCAGCTCTAATTTGACACACTAGTGAGTGTATGAATGGTCTTCTGTCAAGTTTTGAACACAAAATATTGTTTTTGTTCCACTATAGTTGATAAATGTAATATTTTAACACAAGATATGAAGACTGTTAGTGATGACTAAAATGGTGACTAAATTAGATAAAAAGCCATCAGCGAACCTGTTTGAGGTGGTCACTGAGAGCAATCTGGACTCCATTCTTCTTCCTCAGCATCTCACAGGTCATCAAGGTGTAGAAAATAGCCGTGCAGACCAACGGCAGACAGAAATATGCACTGAACAGCCACCAGTCCTTCGCTGATTTATAAAACTAATGGGAAGAAATAGGAGAACAGCAATGAGTTATACACAAGCATTTGTAGGAGGGAGCATAAGGTGAAACATGTCAGAGGAAAATGTAACAGTGTGTATCCCCAGTCTGACCTGCGCCGCATTAAGGGACTCAAGGGTGTATCTCAAATTCACTTGCATTCAAAAATCAATTCATCAAAGTACCTCAGTGGATCACTGTTGTTATTTTAGGATGGAAGCCTCTTGAACACATTACGCACCCTCACAGGAACTGCACTGTTTTATGTCAGCCAAAAGAGCGATAACTGCCGGAATACATTATTTTATGTTACATAGCTTAACTGTCTTTCAACTCAGTCTAACCCTGATCTAGCCAGGAACTCCTTCCCAGTATAGTTATTATGCACATATATTCATGCACAAATCAGCATGGGTGCACTTCTCCTCTTGCGTCTTTACGTGTCAGTATGTATTACATGTGCATGTGCAGGTTTGGGGCATGCACAGCTGTGTCAACACACACCGTTTTTTCCCCACACTGAATTATAAGCTTCATAGGGTCTGTGTGTCACAGCTCACCCTCATGAAATTCGTGTTCTGCATGGGGTGCAGCAAACAGATCCTCAAGTTTTCTCCTTTGTAGTCCATGGTGATCATGTCGAAGGCTATTGCCTCGGGCACAGCTAGGATGATGGATATTATCCAGATGAGTGCGATCTCGATAGCCATCCACTTTGGAATTCCGATCCCTTTGATGCGGCTCCACGAGGCCACTGCACGATACCTGGAATATTCAACATTTGCAGTCAGTCAACCTTCCAAATATTATAAGTTAAAGGAATGGTTTGACTTTTTGGGAAACAATAATAACTTCAGCTCTTCTGAGCTAATTCATGAGAGATAGCTCAGAAGATCGATGCCCCTTTCATTTCTGTACATTAAATATTTCATAAACCAGCAGTGAGTTAGCTTAACTGAGCTAACTAGCAGATTCAAGCTTACTAAAACCACTACATGCTATTTATTCCTTTTTTTGGACCACTAATTATGAAACCAGATACAATTTGTGAATTGATTGATTACTTCATGGGAAATAAGCAACCCGAAAAAAAATTGTTCATACAGTTTCTTCAATTAAACAATCAAACAGATTTGCTCAGACAGTTGACCAACTGGCAGGATCCTATTGACCCAGAGCAGTCTTTCCAAGGCTAATTGTTGTAGCTATATCAAATATGAGTGAATTTTATCTCCCTCTGGTAAACAGTTGTGTGGTTTATTTGTTTTGGGCTTTTTTCGTGACAGGCACGAACGGAAGAGATTAATCTGGTATAGGCTGCCTTTGTCTGGGTAAAGGGAATATCAAGTTTGTGGTCTTGGCTTGGACCATACCCAGATATATTTTTTTGCACAATGTGATGGTTTATTAGCAGCGGCAACCTTTAGACCAATCGACAATGTTCCGAAAAAGGATACATTAAATGTACCACACTGACATGAGGGTAGTCGGAAAGGTATTCTGTATTTAAAATAAATGCGCACTAATTCTTTGTGGACCTATCATGCTATATTTGAATAATTGTAGGGCCATACCTATACAAAACATCTCTGTAAAGTTTTTTTTTCAAAATACCAAACAGATCATGCATTTTAGCCATGCCTCATTTCGCTCTATTTGCTCTTTTCCAGCCCTGTTTTTGCAGGGGCTGATCCTGTGAGAAGTCTTCTTCGCTGCTTTTGTGGCAGACTACAGCGCCACTTACAGGCCTGGCAAATGTACTACAGCGTCTCCAGTGCTTTCGAGCGGCAATGGCCGTGGCCCAACCCCCCCATTCCCCTGATAGGTGAGTTGCACATATAGGCGGAGCACCCCTTTTCTGACGTCAGAAAAAACTCAAATCTGGATCAGTTTTCATCAGATCCGTTGCAGCCCCGTTTTTAGAGATTTGGGTATGGAGGAAAAGAGGTGTGCCTTGGCAGTCTGACACTTGGTGAGTTCCCTGACACACCTTGGACACATATTCATGTATAAAAGACGTACAAAAGTGCATTTTGCATGATAGGTCCCCTTTAAGTAATTATAGCATCAGACATCCTTCTCCACAGACAAAACTGATATGTACTGTACATTCCAGCTTTTTCTAAAGTAGGCCTTGTATAGGAATGTAGTTGACAGTCAAATGCAGACAATCTTAACACATGTGATGATCAGCAAAGTTAACTCGGGTCACAAATCAGGTCAAAAGTAATTTGTCTGACAATGTTTCCTTACTGTTGATTTCATCTGAGGAAGTATCATGTGTCATGATTACCTGTCAATACTCAAAGCGCACAGACTCAGCACTGTGATCCCCACTGAGGCTTTCTGGACAAACGGCACCAGCTTGCACAGAGTCACTCCAAAAGGCCAGTCCTCTGCCAAGAGCTGAAGAAAGAGGCATAAATAGTTGATGATGGATTGAAACCATGAGAGGGAGTGAAGCAAATCGTCTGGCTACACACTGTTCTCCCAATCCCTCAGGCATCCAGTGTTGACCACGAATGCGTGAACCAAAAACTTTTTTTCCCCTCGTTTTTCGGTTACATACTTCTGGTCTTTTCATGAAAACAAAGTGAGGCCTCTGTTTAGCCTCAAGGCAAGGTAACCCAGAGAGGTACAGTAGCTCCTCAAGAACAAAACGATGCTAAACCCGTACAGTCTTAAGACTTTTCATGTCTACTTTGGATGAGCGACTGGAATGTGAGTATAGAATCTAGATCAATCGGAATCATATGTAGCGCGGTATCTCCCCAAACCACCTTGGCAAAAGCAGCCAGTTGTTTTAACATGCTTGCCCCCTTACCCAAATATACTTTGGACCTTTCTCTCTCACTCCCTCTTTTTCTCTCACACACACAAAATGAGCCCAACAGATAATAACATACCGGAGACATAAGGGGATCTGGAGGGGCTCAGAATCCAGTAAAGTAATAACATTGCAAAAGCCCCCTTTCAAAGACTGTGTGAGCACCCACATGTTGTGTGCATTAGGAAAGGGTGTGTCTGTTTGTTAAGGGTTTAATATCCAATATGCAAACCAAGAATTTGCATATGACTTTAAAATATACTATAATGAACTTAAGAACGTTAAATAACCAACATTCCATTGAAAATCCAAGGGACTTTTGAACTGACTGGATTAAAAAAACATTTTAAGGCCAAAATAATAAACCCAGCTCACCTTATAAACATTAATGGGAATTGCGATGATGATGTGCAACAGGTCTCCCAGTGCCAGGCTGCCGATCAGGATGTTCGGCCCATTACGCATGCACTTATTCTTATAGATGATTCTCAGCAGAGTCGAATTGCCAATAATACCCACGACAAACACCAGGCAGGACACCAACGTGTTGATGTACTTGAACGTGTCTCGGATTTCCGTGGGTCCGGTGCACATAGGAGGTAGCCGGCGGCGGGGCATGGTCATGTTGGGCCTCACCACACCTTGTGCATCTCTCTCCACAAGCTCAGGTCTTTGGGTGACAGCAAAAAGGTCCTGGGGCGCTACTTCCTTTGGCTTCAACTGCCCACTGACCACAAGGACATAACCCGCCAAGAGGAGCACCTCCAAGCAGAGGAGATGAGTCTTCATCCTGGAAGATGGTTGTCAATATGTTTTTATCCAACACGTCTGAAAATGACCCTCTTCGAGTGTGCCTGGAACACAAATTGCAAGAAAGTACTTCATTATAATTTGTCTTCAGGAACATAAAAAAACGATTGAATCTGTTGTAGGGATATTAGGCTCAAGGGTTTATTATGTGAGTACAGCCAACGCAGCTGACATTCTTATATAATATATTAATTTTTGAGGGAATGTACAAATAAATGTGATAGCTGATGAGAGGGGATTAGAAAATGGGGAAGATCGTTTATTTTATTTTGGCTAAATATTTGACATTTTTTGGAGGGTTGGGGAAGATCTGTCTTAATTAATAAAAAGTAAAAAATTAATTAAAATATTTTATTTTCACATTTATATAGTTTGTCAAGGTGCACCTTTTCAAAGGAAAGAAATTCAATTTATTGATAACAGTTGTATTAATGTTTACACTGATGACGTTCATTAGAAGTTCTAATAAGATAGGTATGATTAAAGAAGTCGTAACCACTGTTATATTGTCTTTGACATGTAGGTTGGGTTTCGCAGTTTCAAGTCAATACAGGTTAAAGTAAACATCAATAACCCTGAAGAAGGTTAAGAGGTTAAGTAACTTGGGAAAACACCTTTTTTAAATTGAAATAACCCCCCCATAACCAACTCAATCATGTTATTGGAGTACCCAAACCAGTCAAACAATGTTCTCCAGTCCCTGCCATTTAAGCTCTTACTTACCTAACTCCAAGCTGAGGTAGAAATCCTCCAATAATTGTGCCTCTTCGTTTAAACACTCCCAGTAACTTTCAAGCTCTCAGGACAGAGAAAAGTTCCCAAATTGGAGGGATGCTGTTTCTGAAGTGACAGTGCAGTCATCTCCACCAGCAGCTGTCCTCTCTGCCACTGGTGTCAAAGGGAAAAAGCTGCAGCTCTGTGCTCCAGTCGGCCTCTCGTAGTTCACTGCTCTCCGGTACTGTCTCAGTGTACACAGTCTCAAGAGTCTGCTGAGTTGGATCCCTGCCCTCCACCCCCTCCTCTTCTGATGGGGAGAAGGGGGTGGAGGAAGAAAGAGGAAGGCAGGCAGGATGTTGCAACATGTAGGCCAAGCTGTTACTAATTGTAATGTGAAAAATCACATCAAGAAAGCGGCAGAAAACACATCAGTCTTTACACTAGAACATTTTATCCGGTAAGTATTTGCAAATAATTGTTATCAAAATGTATTTCAAATGTCTGGAAAAGAGACCACACAACATAAATTGAGCAGTCAAAGTAAAATATTTGAAAAGTAGTTTTGAATATACAACCTCAAACGGTTTGGCAGTTGAACATTTTAGGGAAGAAACATATTTTCATCAACCTTTGAAACAATACATTTCTTTGTCCACTCATTTATAATATACAGCTGTGAGGATTGGTGCACCTTGAATCATTAACAAGCGCTAAGCTAGCTAGGACTTTTCTACAGCAGTGGTTGCTAACAAGCTAATATTTATTTAGGTTGAATGTTTACAAGAATTTTCGTTTAGCTTGTTAGCTAGTTAACGTTAGCTAATTAGCACTTTACATAATGTATGCATTATTATAAATCCCATTGCTATTCTTGGCCCTGCGTAGCATTGTAACTCGCCTATAAAAGTATTGGGCTTCCTAATTACACATAGAGCAGTTAATGCAGAAGTAATGTGCTTCCTGCGGATCCTTAAAAATAATTGAATTCATAAAATCTTATAATAAGGCTGTAGGTTAATAATCTTTCAAACTTAAAAATGCCCAGACAATGTAGGTAGGCTATAGCAAAAATAATATTTTCATTTTGGTGACAAGATCAGCAATGGTTGTCTGCTAGCTACAACGTTCATGGAAACATTTGTTATGCTACCATTAACATTCAGGCAATATTTACCATAACAAATGTATGATTTCAAGTGGCATTAAGAAAAAACAAAATCTATAATTGTACTTACCTTGAGCTAAGGGAACCCAAATTTGACTTATATGTAAACCTAGGTGCTGCATTTTGAGAATTTTTTGCTGGACAATGACAGTTTATATCCAAATTCCATGCATCTATCCACTTGTTGAAACACATTACTTAAAACCAAACATTGTCAAAATAATCGTTTCTATAAAAAGTCAAACGATAATCAAAGTCAACAGGACCATAAGCATTACAAAACTTTCATCATGGCAATCCATCCAATATTGTTGGAGATATTTCAATCTGGACCAAACTGGTGGATTTTAGACGTTGGTATTTGGCTTACAGTTTTTCTCGATTGCTAACACACTTTTTTTTTTTTAATTGCTCAGTTTCTCAGAACACTAAACACAATTCACAAAACCACACATTTCTCCTGCTAAATTAAGAACTGCACTCAAAACTACATACACACTTACCAAATGCAAACTTTTGCACCAAATATAACACACTTCATTCATAATACTTGATGGTTTGACCACCCAACTACACACTGCTGAGCATAATCTAAAGCACTTTCGTCTGTTATGGGCTATGCTCTGTACGTAGAGGTTTCTGCAGAGAAAGATTGCTTGCTTATACAGAAATACAGTAAATGAAGAAATACAAATGAGTTGTTGAAAAAAATCACATTTTATTCAAAAATAAAATTGTGCAACATGCATCTCAGCACATAGTTACTATGCTTCAGATCTCTCTAAGTGTGATGGCATTGTTTGCCAAAACCAAGTTTGTAACTGCTGCTTCCTGTATCTCATTGAAAATCCTTAGCCTTCCACCTGCGCCTCTTTGTTTCTCAGTCCTTCAGATAAACAACAAAGACACAGTGGTTGGTCAGTGTCTGTGTTGCATAAAAGTAAGTCTACAACAGTAAATTGTGCAGGATTTGTGTACAGTTATAGTATGCCAACAATTCAATTACAGTAATGAAGTAAATACGTTTCACACAACAGATATAAGCACTGATATATCATGAGTATTCTTCTTTGTCCACGTCCTCTCACTCTCAGCCCAGCTCTTCCTCTTGCTCTTGCTTCCATGTTGGCTTCCATTGTTGCTGTAAGAAAGTACTCACCTGTGGTCTTTTTATAGTGCTAACATCCTGATTGATGAGCCAACAATTATGCTATCAGGTGTTTGCTCAGGTGGAACGTGTTTCTTGATCATTGGTCCATGTGTGAGGCATTTTAAATATCAGTGTTTTAAACCTGCTAACACGTGACTTCATGTCAGATTCCTGTGTCTTACGTGGAGAAACGTGTGCAGTGGTTTGCAATAAGTGCCATGTTGATTTGCAAATTGTGTGAAAAGCTGAAAACGTGTTTAGAGTTTTGGAGATTTGAGCCAATGTTTTGCTCTTTGAGTGTCAGTTAAAATAATTCTGCTTTATGTATCATTTTAGTGTGTTAGCAATCGAGAAAAACTGTAAGATGATCAAGGCTTTCGATTCCTAAGGGGGGTTTCTCCTCTCTTCACCCTGATCTTTTCCACGTGCATTTGTTTTCTCTCTTTGACTGTACTGACAATGGTAAACATGCTTGTATGTTTTTGCTGTCACCCTTTAAGTTCTTCCATTCTCTACATCATTTAGAAATGTTCTGGTCACATATGGATCCAATNCCACCGAACTGCAGACCCCCTCCCCCACGACTACGCCTCGAAATCCGATCCATGTATATTACAAACAGGATTGGTGACAAAGCGCAGCCCTGGCGGAGGCCAACCCTCACCTGAAAAGGGTCCGACTTACTGCCGAGGACCCGGACACAGCTCTCGCTTTGGGAGTACAGAGATTGGATGGCCCTGAGTAGAGACCCCCTCACCCCATACCCCCGCAGCACCTCCCACAGTGACTCCCTGGGAACCCGGTCATACGCCTTCTCCAAGTCTACAAATCACATGTAGACTGGATAAGCGTACTCCCAGGCCCCCTCCTGCTCTTGACGCAGATGTTAAGTACCTTGAAGAAATTCACTTTTATATCAGGAAGATTGATATAGGCTACTGTATGTAAAATGTCTGAGCACGGCATTCTCTTAAGAATTTCATGTACTTTTTCTCCCCGTCTTTTTCCAGAATTATTTTACAGCTGTGTGTATCGACCAGATGGAGTGACGTTCACATAAAGCACAGAATCTTCCAATAATTGCGATCACAGGGAATCAGGGGTTCATTTTTTCCAGGATTAAATACGTATTTTATTTGAAACAGAAGCTTCTTTCTTCGATATGTAATTCAATTCAAGGATCCAGTGGAAATAAATTAACAAAGGCACTTCGGGAAGCAGAGGGAGCAAAGGATTAATGGAGTGAAGAAAGAACCAGGAGTTCTTTTTTTATGGATGTAATAAAGTGGAAGCTAATTACTCTCTATTAACCCACCGCCCAGATTACAAGGCTACAGGGCAAACTTCTGCCTGTTCTGACACTCTGAACAAGGACACACACAAGATGTATGCATAACAACACACCGGCAGGCATAATTCAGTATGTCCTGTGTCTAACAGGGTGAACTGAACTCAGAGGGTGTATTGTTAGGTGATGTGTCCTCTTGTTGACACCCAGGGCGATGAATCCCTGCTTGTTCAAAACAAGTCAGCTCTTTGTGCTCGTTAGATATAACTGAGGTTAAGATTCTGCTTCTCCCGTAAAATAGGAAAAGAAACCTGCAAAAAAAAAAACATAAGAAGAAAGCGTGAGCCCCTCTTAGCTTTAAATTGTAAATGTCAAAGGAGAGCAGTAAAAGTCGTTCACATAAATGGGAGATAGTAAAGCATTGGTTTCAGTTAACCCATTCATCTTAAGGCTCATTTTAAGGTAGTAAACTGCTGCAGTCCCGTAGGCCATTATAAGCAATTAAAAAGACTCCGAAGCAGCCAGGGCCAGTTACTTTACAAATGCAATAAATCTAATTTCATATTAGTCATTAGTATTAATTAATAGAAGCATTCTACAGCACCAGCATTAGCCCCATTGCATGAAGTCCCGCCAAACATAGGTTTAAACTAAACCAGATGATGTAGCGTTACAACGGAAATAAATTAGGGGCGAAAAATGAAAGGAGGAAGTGTTGACATTTCGATTTCTATTCTGAACATTTAGATTTATCTTCAAAATGTTTGATTTATCCTCGAAATGCAAAGGAGAAAAGATCATCCTCCTCTGGTCTATGGTAATGATATATGACTTTATTCTTAAAGAATATCTTCCTCCTAGTTTTACCCTTATTCATGGCTCTATTTCTCTTCCATGCTTTACCATGCCCGGCGCCGTGGGAGGGCCAGGCCCTCCCATTTGACATTCCTGCCCTCCCCCAATAAACACGTTTTTTATTATTTATAACATTTACATTTTTTATTTTTTTTATTTTTTTTTATTATAAATAAACGGTGAACTTTTATGCTACGATGTATGTGATGTCAGATAGTAAACAATAAATAAATAAATTCATGTGTCTGTTGTGATTGTGATTCGTCCACATTTAGACCAATCACAGCGTCACACTCTGCCGCCTATTCTGGATTTGTTTATTGTGCATTCTGTAGACTCCCATTTCTGTTTGAATTACAAAATGGACATCAGAAATTGGCTTAAAAGGTCTAAGGATTTATTAAAACAAAATAGCGATGAAAGAACTGCAGCCGATGGTGCTGCTGGCGACCCGTTGCAGCAGCACGCCTTAATGTCAGAAGCTTGACCTCGGCAAACCCCTCGGCTGAGTTAGCGAGCCCAATCCTTGACTCATCAAGGCGGCCGCCACCAACGCTGTCCTCCGAGGCACAGCTCCTTGTGCCCCTACCATCACCACCTGCGTTGCCACACCCTGTACCACACCCGCCAGCATCCTCCTCCTCCTCCGTGCTGGTGCCTCCACTACAGACGCTACCTTGCAGCACATCAACAGGTAGGCTACTTTTGGGCCAGCAACCGCTCAAAGACAAACAGCTCCAGGTGATCTTGGGGTTAATAAACCCAACCAGGTGAAACTGGATCGTTATCCAGGAAGATTGTTTTCAGGAAAGAAGTGCACTTTTGCCATGGTACTACAACAGNCGTTTT